CACTCTTAAAATGGAAGACGAATTTGAAATTCCACTTCATGATGTTAGACTAGTAATAAAAGCCAGCTCATCCATAGGTGATCTACCTAGGACGGTCAACTGACAAGGTTCTACCTCTGGTTGCTGGTTGAACGAAAACGTAGCCTAGTTATATCCCATGACCTTGGCGTTTGTTGTATATGCAGTCTTGACGTTCTGGAGGAAGAATTAGACCTGCTGAGAGAAATCTCCATCCAAAAAGGATATCCAGCGAGATCTATTGACAAGAACACCAAACAGAAACTTCAGAGACATCAGATATCAACAGGGACAAAGCAAATCTTACATAAACCTTTATTTCAAGCCTGATTCAACCTGTGATGCGCGCGAGAAGAATGTTAACATCTTTGGGAACAGCATTCTTCGTGACAACTCGATGACTAGTGTTCTTCGGAAACCTGACAGAAAGGATCTCACATCCGACCAGTTCAGTTCTAATACATCTATTCACCTACCCCTATGGAGCCAAGCATATTTGTACATCGACGTGTTTCCTATTTGAAAGTGTTCAAGCACAGTGTCCGTCATGATTGTAGGAAAATAGCAGCGGTTACGTGAGGTATGTATCAATTGAACACCTTGTGGACACTGACCACTCCACATCAACAAATTCCTCCATCAACGCGCTCTACAAAGTGAGGAGCGACGTGCCAAAGACAATTCAGTCCAGTCTCCTTTACATTATTGAATCCACAGTCACCCATGTAGGGAAACCGGATCTCTGCCCACGAACGAGAATTCCTCAACCGCTTCTATTGACTTGTCAATAACCCTGCCTATTTCAGCCAATGTTTTGTCTTCAGCTCTTCTATATTTTCGAAGGCTTTCATACTAACGAATTTCCTTTGTTTCTATCTACATCCTGGTTGCAAGTCATTCACTACATTATATCTCTCCTCACATAACTCTCTCAATCTTATTAAATTCTCTTACGCATTCAATAATGCTAGCAACAATGCTTGGGATAATTCATTATTTCGTTACTATCGCGTTTTGTAAAAGAATTGTATGTGAATCGGACTGTCCAGCTGGAGAAAATGGAACCGCCAGAAAGTGCGACTTTGCTAAACTGCACTTTCACCTCTCTTGTGCAATAATGCAGGGGGCATCGACCTTGAAACTGGTGTTCAGAGAGCCATTTATCACATTGTAGACAAATAATCTCCAGTTTAGATGCAATGATATATTATATAGATATGGTGTACTATTGTAGTTATCTGGATTGATATGAGGCATGCTCTCAATCAGTGTTCCCTATGTGAATTGTAGACTAAATGCTCTTCCTTAACCTAATTCAAGCGTTAAGCCATTAACAATCCTTAGAAGCACTGTGAACTGGTAAGAAAATAGTGTTTTCTCCGTTAGATTCGTTGGCTTCTGGTCCTGTAAAATAATTGTCTAAATAGCCTTCTCATTTTCTATGATTGTCAGTATTAGCTTCTTTCTCAGAAGAACAAATTTCACCTTCGCAACTTGTCCCTTATACCTCCTAAGTAGTTTGGACTTGGAACTGGAGTAACTCCTTATTTATTATTGAGAGTTGAAGTGCTTTGAGTGAATAAAAGAGATTGTCCTAATGGATGTTCGCCTCTGTCACGGCTGATAGCTGCACTATCAGTGTAGGAAAGAGAAGATTACTTCCAATGACCGACCAGTATTATCTCTGTAAAATGTAACAATGAATGAAGCATCCATCAGGATTAAAGCTCTTTGTGGAAGAAAGACAGGATGCTTCCGTGAGGATAACGACTCACTTGACAACCAAGTCAAATGCTTGGAATCAGTTTATAAGTTTGCACACTATCGAGTGTGCACAGGCGTTATGAGCACTCGTTCAGGTGACAAGATATATGAAAAGTTGGAGTACTTCGGAAGGTGTTAATCGAAATAGATATGCTTGGAGGTTCTATTGAGGGAAAGCTGCGGTCTAAAGGACACCACGAATGAATTTATGCTGACTCAGAGAACGTTTTATGGATGAGTACTGGGTTCAGACGAGTGAGATTCAAATAATGGGCCGGTATTGTTGCAAATGGGAAAGTCTCCTAATTCATGACTGTTTGCAGGAGCCATTGGAATAACTGAGTAACAAAATAGTACTTTGAGCTACGTTCTCAAGGGCTTTTATTTCATTTTATTTAAACGCAGAACATAAAAACTTGGTACAATATGGCACCAGGAAAGATGTGCCGCACAACATTAATAAATCAACATAGATTAAATGTTAAATTATATGTAGAAAACGGATAAATATCTTCATCTGAAAGGAAAACTGTCATATTTAACAAGTTCAAACAGTATTCGTTTACTTTCACCAGGGTGGGAGGAAAGAAGGAAAGTGCAACGCGTTCGCCACTGATTACGTTTCTTGGCCATACCCGATAACGTTTTGTGCCATCTAATCGAGCTATCTCGCGGACCCCAAACAGGGAGTCGTGACGCACCAACCAATGCTAATCTAGCACAAAATTCCTTAATCCCACGATGCCACGTCATGGACTGACCACCCCTCAAGCCTTTTCCATCCCGTTCGAGGGCTAGCGAACAGAGACCTGTACGGAAGCCTCTGGGATGACATTCGCAGCACATGTCCAAGCCACCGGAACCGGTGTTTCCAGATGACGACACTCAATGAATGGCGATCTCCACTGTGCTCAAACACACGCCACCGAACCTCAGATTTACTCACGCGATAATGCCATCGAACGCAAGCAATCCTGTGGAGACAGCGAAGATCCAACACGCAGAGGCGCCGCACATCCTCAGCTCGGAGAGCCCAGGTTTCACAGGCATAGAGCAAGACAGCCTGCACCGAATCGTTGCATACCCGACCTTAGGAATTAAGTTCCCCATACGGAACTGTGGGGCGGATGTGGTGATTGACAATTTCTTTCTCTGCATTGTTTAAATACTTACTGTTGCTTGTTAATATATTTATTATATGAATTGAAATATAATTCCGCCAAATACAAATTCCTGAATTCATCCCTCTCTGTGTTTTTGGTTGAATTATTTAATTCATTCATTGCCAAATACAAATACTACTACTGCAAATAATTATCACAAAACTACTTAATTGAGCTACGCTCTCGGGAGCTTAGGAATTAAAATCCCCATGCGGAACTGTGTGTTGCACCTCTTCATCCAAACGCGTCTTTAACCAATATCCTGTACTACTGCTAAGAGAATAGTGCAAACCACTGACTTCTTTTGCAAGATTCTGCTGAACTGAAAGCATTCAGCTTCACCTCAGTTTCCAGTCAAAGTCACCTACGAAGTAAAGCTGAAAGCCGAATAGTTATAAAGTCCAACAAGTTGGTGAATGTGGTAGATAACTGTTGGAGTGATGTAAAATATGAGTGTAATTGTCATTGGGCAATAACATTTATAGCAGCAAAATTGAGATACACGAAAGACCTGACAAGTTAGAAGTAGAACTTTACAAATTATGAAAATAGTCTTTCGGTAAATATTCATGCTAAGGAAACCTCTTACCTCTTAAATATATGAAAATGAAGAGACGTATGTCAAAATGCAGTTAGAGGATTGTCTTTGGACATACATAAAGGAAACTGGAGTAAAGCGGAGTGAGTAAACTGGAAGCACACCAAAGGCTGGATGAAAGGTTCACAAGTAACTTCTACTTCTTTCGTATGCAAAGATCGATTTTGAGCAGGTGAATAGCTCATTCACCAAACAATGCGCTACTTGAGTCACTTTCATCAAAGCAAGTTTAACAAAGCATGTAAAGTAAACAATAATTTAGAAGTCAGGTCGCCTAGAGAATATCGATAGTTCAGATGATAAGCTTGAAATTTATGTACATGAAAGTGTTTGGAAGGAAAATGTATAGCTGCTGCAAGGGAGACTGCAGAATAACTCAATTTGTAAAAATGATAACAGCAACAAAGTTTTCTCATGAGATAGGAAGATGAATACTGCACTGCATGAGGCATCTTGCAAGATATGTACTTGAAGAAAGGGTAGGATAGAAAACATTGAATTTGGATGTTATGAAATGGAAACAACACAACACAGCTTTTCTGAAACGTAGATTTAATATGTTTGAACTGAGTTGTTTTTGTGTCAGCTTCCTAAATTATGATCTATATTTTCTGAAACGTACACTAATGGATGCTTTTTGATGGGCTAGAGTCTGTTCAAGCTGTTGACCCCTCGGATGTGTGGCAGCTGAGAGCACATCAGTTTCTTACATAGAGTAACGAATACTAACATACACCTATTCTTGTTTGAAAATAATTGGAAGTGAACTTAGTGAAAGCGAAATCGAGGAAATGTGAGTGATTGAAGGCAAATTTTTGTTAGACATGCAGTTTTACGCTTCAGTCTGCAAGCTACATCAGGACATCAATATTGTGGTTGCTAGGAAGAAGTGTAATTCGTGAGAGGAGAAATTCACGAGTGTTATGCGAATTCACACTTTTCAATCATAACTGCCACCATGTAAATTTGTAAAGCAGTGAATCAAATTCCATACCTACTTGAAATCATGCATGCCTATGAATTTATGAAAACACTGAGGATATTATAGTGTGAAATAAACTCCGACTGAGAATAAAGCTGTTCGGTCTATGGTGTGATTATCAGATGATGTAGTCGCAGTCGGTTTTGTAATTGTAAGTTTCGTCATTGGGAGTCATCATTATTCACGAACTACTAGAATGTCTACTCTCCTCGAGACTGTTTGACTTTCTTGAAAGCTTGTTCCTCTTCAGTTATTGTGTGATGAACTTCAATCACCTTTCCAGTATAATATCATTTTGTGGATTCAGGATCCTTTCATTAATGCTACAAACCTTCTATAAATAGTTGCGAATATATCACGTAGCGGTTTGAAATAAATTGCACTTATCACAAGATCTATCACAGGTCTAAACATCAGCATCAACCATACCATTTCAATAAGATTCTGGAACAATTCTTCATTACCACTAACTAACCCTGCTTGTATGGTTGTAATTATGAGGGAAAATATAGCTTGTTGAGTGCTGAAAAAGAAATCAGACGATGAATGTATGAGTAAAAATTTCGACACATTAACTTGTTCTTGATCCCTCTGGCTTGTTCCTTTGACATTATTGTCCGCACTTGCTTGTCTACACATGCGCTTATAAAAAGCAAAGTTAATTGCGAATGTGGAGGAAAGTTGTACTGGTGCTAGATTGATAAACAATACTCGATAAAATGCCAAGTAAATGCTTTCTGAATTGATCCCACAGTGGAGTTTACCTTTGTCATTAAATATACCAGCTAATAAGAAAAATGGTAATGTCATCAAGACTGTCACTACAAATGTAACTGCAAAAACATACCATGCAAATTTATTTGACAAATTAGCATATGTCATTGGCTTAAGAACACTTAGTAAACGATCAACTGCTCCACATAATAAAAAGTTGCTCACTAAAGTAGAAGAAAGCGCCCTTATGAAACAGTAAAGCCGGCATACATTTTCCGAGATATAAAAGAAATAGAAGTATTTCTGACCTCCAGTGGCGTACGGTAATCCTTTAGCCAGAAAACCACCGAGCAAACCAAACGTAATATGGATGAGTGCGTGTGATATCAATAAACCAAGAAAAAACACTGTCGACCTTGTCTTATCACTAGAGATGACCAATACGGAGACGATCGCAGCATTGAGAAGTAATGATATTGAATTTCCAATTGGTAGTATATAAGCTGAAATGAATCCAAGTGCCAGTGAAGATATGCACAATGCGTTATTACTCGGCGTCCATTCCACTTCCAATGAATCACATGATAATTTGGTGAACCACGGTGATTGTTTAAATGGCCAAGTGCTCGAGTTAAATTCCATCTGCTCGTTTATTGATGTTGTTCTCAGTGCTGACAACACAGATTTATGAGGAATGCTTGTCGAGGTATGTGTGTTTCTGTGACATCGTTTCTTGACTAGTATATCAAATAGTTAATTACCAAGACAAGTGTCATCAGAGTTATCGATGAGAATGACGTATTAATGTAATGAAATTATACTAGAATTCGAGATGTGTTCGTGGGAGATCAGTTGTGTTGCTCTAAATAGGCAGGCTCTTTCTGAAATGTGTATCATGAAATCATCACGATGATATTTAGTTAAAACTGAGCGAGATGTGTTATTTTATGAAGAGTGTCTATGTCATCATGATTGGTGTTAATTGATGAATTAGAATTGAATGCGAACATTCGATTGGTTGATAAAACAAGATTTCAGGAAACTATTCTCAACCAATCACATAAAGGTAGACTTCAGAGAGAGTGATAGGTGGTTAACTGTTGCATTGGTATGTCTGTAAGTAAATTCCTGAATAATTTATTTTTCATGGTATTAGATGTGTTGCAAAGTAAAAACTGTGATAGACAGGGTACTTAACACTGTTTTCGTTTCCTCTTTTCAGGAAAACACACAGGAGTCTATTCCGTGGATCGAGAGGCACAACATCTATCAGGACTCAATATCAATGATGACAATTAGACTGTTTTGTTTGTGAGGGCTTGAATCGCGCCCTCTGATTTTCGCCACTGTTTCAAACACGCGCTCTTACGGAGCTCTTGTTCTGCTTTCCTTCCTGGAGTGACTGTTGCTCGTTGTGTTACAAATATTGTTTCGGAGGTGCCTAACCATTCAAAACAGATGGTTCTTCTATCAGATGTTGAAACCCTGAAACCTGATATTCGTCAACCTCCAGTCTTTGAACTCAACTCAGACTACTCATTGTGGAAGAATCGCATGCAGGATTTCCTCAGTCTAGTTCCACCGGGCCATCCTTATGTGTACATCCTCAGTTCGCTCTTAGATGAAGCATACACACGAGCCGACGCTGCTGGTTTCCGTAGCACGTAGCCCGCTGGCAAAACCTGAAGCATACTGAATGCCTGTTCTGATATACATTTGGGCCCCGACTACCCGATGGCAAAACTTCTCAGCCAACGTCAGTTACCTGGAGAGAGTGCTTTAGAATACTTTCAGGTTTTAGAAACTATGGTGGCTCACGCTGACATCCATGGGGATTCAGCAAACAAAGAAAGAATGGTACATACACAATTCGTCGAAGGTTTACTTCCTGGTGACTCACGAACACACTTTCTGCAGCCGCCCCAATCCAACACTCTAGACCTGAAGCAGACCATCCTTCGGTCCATGGAGGCCAGCAACTTCCGGTATACTGTCCCTACAGAACCTGCAGCAGCTACCGTCGTCCAGTCTCGTCACTATGCTTCTGTGCGCAACCAGTAAACGCGTGAAAATATCAATATCTCCACCTGTTACTACTGTGAAGTGTTTGGTAAGAAGGCGCACAGGTGGAGTCATAACCGCCAGCTTCAACTAAGCAAGTCCCTGTTTTATGATTTATCTACATATTCGTGTAATGTTGAACCACTAATGTTACGGGAAGGCATTAATGGAGTACCCTCTAAGATACTCTTAGGTACTGGCGCGTCGGTGTCACTCCTGAGGACTTCATTCCTCCAACGCTTGCCCCAATACTCACTACCAGTAGTCACTCAAAACGTCTTGACAGCAGCTAACATTGCTAAAATGGAAGCCCGATCTTCCACATGCTTACAGGTGAACCTTGGAGATCTAAATGTCTATCATCAGTTCCTCATCTGTGCTCAGATTGCATGGGATCTGATCCTAGGTGTAGACTTTCTTACGACACACCCCAACTTTGTAGACGTTGCCCATTCCCACGTTATCATGGACTCAGTCTCTGTATCCCTATGTCGCTCTCAGCAACCGACCTCCTCTGAGTCAGACTTATTCGTGAGCTCTATCCCTAATCAAATTTCAGGTGGTTCTTTGGAAAGGATGTCTACGAGAATTCGATTTCACTTGTGAGTATCGCCCAAGATCTCAACATGAGGGTGAATACCGGTTGGGATGTCACGTCATCGGAAATACATAACGTCCAGATTGGAAACAGACTCAGCTACAGTGAAGTAGTTAATAAAACCGATAATACTTCCATTGTAATATTGAATGAATGCTCCAGTCGTATACTGGAGCACACTTTATGAGGACGGAAGTCAACTTTCACCACTCAAGAATGGAATGCTTTGAAACCAGTCGAAAATGGTATGCAGTGCACAGTTGCTTCTTCACTGTTATAGAGTGCAGTTTCTATATACATGTATGTGTGTGAACGAAGGACACAAATTTATTCATACCGCTATTTGAGTCATCACGTTATCACAGCTTATTGTAACCAATTGAAAACACACCATGCAATCAGCCTCAAAGAACTGTCACACTCATCCCAACCACCATCTGCCACCTATCGCTACGAGATGCTAGCTGGAGGGGGGAACGCATATCCAATACCACAACCAGGCACTGAGGACAGTGCCTGGAGAGGAGGAGGGGCGATGTGACAAAATAAAAACTGTGATAGACAGGGTACTTAACACTGTTTTCGTTTCCTCTTTTCAGGAAAACACACAGGAGTCTATTCCGTGGATCGAGAGGCACAACATCTATCAGGACTCAATATCAATGATGACAATTAGACTGTTTTGTTTGTGAGGGCTTGAATCGCGCCCTCTGATTTTCGCCACTGTTTCAAATACGCGTTCTTACCGAGCTCTTGTTCTGCTTTTCTTCCTGGCGTCACTGTTGCTCGTTGTGTTATAGACGGTTGAAGGCTGTCGGTAGGAAGCCTTAGACCTAGGTTTCGTGCCAGTTGGCGCTCATCAGTAAGGAGTGTCTGCAACCTCGAAGGAACTCACGCCCCTTTTGATATTCGAACCCACGTCGCAGTCAGAAACCTTGCTACTGAGCTATTCATGTTAGGGATTGACCTCCTGTAGGACTGTATTGCATATTTTTCATTAGACACTAGCCGGTAGCTAGTATAATATGTGTGTGACGTGGGTTCGAATCTCAGAAGGGACATGAATTCCTTCGAGGTTACAGATACGCCTTACTGATAAGTGCCAACTAGTACGAAACCAAGGCTTCCCGTCGACTGCATCCAAACATTTTCTACAGTGCACTGTGATGGCCAGCCACCTAGCATGGTGGCTGAAGTGCAAGCGTGACTGAGAGAATTCAGTCTGCACCAAACAAAGGCCTAGACACAAACACATTACACTAGTTACTGACTAGTGTCCAGTCAAAAATTGTTTCGTGACAATCCGCATATCACAGTAGATCCACATATTCAGTTTAACAACATTTCTTTCAGATGATATACATATTTACTTTATAATTCAAGTTATGCGATCAGAAAATATGTTGAATGAATCCGAGTATGATGTTCGCTTTGATATCAGTTCCTTGAATATTCTTTCCACAAATGAACTAAATGCATACAATGATGGTCTATTTTCGAAGGATAATGGTACAGCATATAACGATCTGATCCCTTATTGTCTTTATTCATATGTGAATAAATTGTTTTAAACAGGTAGGTTGACTGAAATTGTATGCATCAGGTTTAAATATGACCACTCGAGTGATGATATTTAGCGGTGAGTAATAGGACTGTAGTAGTTGTGTGAAACAAAAGTGGAAATCTCTCCACTCATTTAAAATAGGCGACATCGAACAAAGTGGCAAATGACGTCATCCCACCCAAGTTAGGCATTAAACAGAGGTGTCAAATTACCCTCGCATGGTACTTTACAGTAATATAACCAAGGTAACTCGAAGTGTGTGAAATAAGCCTACTAGAATCCAAACAGTAAGGCAAAGAGTAGGAATGACGACAATAAGCAGCTGTATGGGATGACACGGTCAAAATGACTATATGTAGAGTGACAAAAATCAAAAGCAGTGAACGTTGATTGCAGTTGATTGAGGTGGTATTGATTCGGGAGTTTTGCGAAGAATAGTGATTGTTAATGTGTGCAAATAGCAGATTCTAGTTTTCTGTTACAACTTATTTATTATCTGAATGATATACAGCTGATTACAAAACAGCCGTCACTTCGTATTCACTTCTAATTAGGTTTCAAAATGTGCACAGCTTGCTCATAGAACCCCTATAAATACCTGCATAATCGATGTGCACTGATGTAACTGTGGCTCATTGTGTTAAAATGTCTCTTGCAAGATGCCTCATGCAGTGCAGTATTCATCTTCCTATCTCATGAGAAAACTTTGTTGCTGTTATCATTTTTACAAATTGAGTTATTCTGCAGTCTCCCTTGCAGCAGCTATACATTTTCCTTCCAAACACTTTCATGTACATAAATTTCAAGCTTATCATCTGAACTATCGATATTCTCTAGGCGACCTGACTTCTAAATTATTGTTTACTTTACATGCTTTGTTAAACTTGCTTTGATGAAAGTGACTCAAGTAGCGCATTGTTTGGTGAATGAGCTATTCACCTGCTCAAAATCGATCTTTGCATACGAAAGAAGTAGAAGTTACTTGTGAACCTTTCATCCAGCCTTTGGTGTGCTTCCAGTTTACTCACTCCGCTTT